GACAAAGCGACAGAGTGGTGCACTACAATCTGCGCGCAAGCTCCCTCAGCAAGAGACGCTTTCATGTGCGATAATCCTACATGGCTGGTAAAGGTTTGCCGCAGAGACAACGTACAGAACAGATGATGCCTTAATCTTCTACCACAGGTTGAAGTGATTTGTACAGGGTAGTGGAGGATCCTCGAAGTCAGAAGGTCGGATCACGAGGGTATCTGAGCGTTCGGCCAAACCTGAAGGCCAGACTCTGCAAAGGATTCCCTGACCTCTTTGCTTGAGCTTCTCATCTATCAGTTTATCAGGTAGAATTTCAGTTTGGCATAGTTGATGGTATGGAGGGATGCCGATGGCTTTGGGTCATTGATGGTTTGCAGTTTTAGGTTATTGGAGGTTTGGTGGTCCTGCGGTATTAGTATTAGTAGAAGTAGAATCCCCTACTTCATATTATGGTGCTTCAATCACAGGCAGGTACGGAGAAAGTTGTGGTTTAGCATTCCAAGCATGGCCAAGTCTCAACTGATCTCTTGAGCATCTGCCCCCATCCACGGGGCTGTCTAGAAAGGAAATGATGCCTCTTTGCCAAAATTGAAAAGGAGTTGGGATCGGCCACGGTAGGCACGATCCTAAATCCCGACCTCGACGAGGATGAACCTGGCGGCCTGCATAGCATGAAACTTGAACTGCACATGTGTTCTCGGAGGTGGACGCTCAGTCTCCAGCACCAGAAGGCATTTCATTGAACGCAAGATTGCTCGCAGCATGGCACAGTCTGACATGGGAGTTATGCGGAATCACTTCGCAGGAACCCGGGACGCTTCCGAGCTGGAGGCACGACTGGATGTTGTGCCACAAGCACCCCTGGAAAGTGTTCGCAGGGCCAACAAGTACGAATGTACAGATGTCGTTTTCAAACCGTGTGTTTCCAAGCACTTGAATTGACTTCTTGGTCCGGGTCTCGCTTGCCCGTGAAGGACGGCTTGTGTGTTGACATGTTCGACTCCCTAGCGCTGTGGCCAGTTCGGCTGTTTTTTTTCTTTTCTGTTCTTTTTGTTTTGGGGGGGCGGGGTGGAATAAATCTACCCGCCTCTTAAAGCAGCGTCTTTGTTTCAGAGGGGCTCAGAAGTGGAGCCGGAGCGAAGCCCAAAGCTTGCAAGGTCGGGACTCGTAGCTGCTATCGTAGCTGTGAGGCCGACATCGAGGCGGCGATGGAGGAGTTGGCGGCCGGGTCGCAGTCTGGGGCCTGGTCATGGATGCCCTGGGCTCTCGATTTTGCTCTAAGTCGGTTCAGAGGACTGCCGTCCGGATCGCACCCGGAGCTGAGGATCTCGATGTCGTAAGGATTTAGCAGATCCAGGAGAGACTTGTGTGGGGAGAACCCATATCATGTTAGCCGGGAGATCTGGCTCTTTCTAAGGGTTGAAGGCATTCTTTTCGTGGGGTCGGCTAGAAGCCCACTCGCCTTGAGCCTTTGAGCCTAAAGCCTTTTCGCCACTTGCGGCACTCCACATTCGTCGCATACAGGCAGCACAGGCGTGTTCAAGTAGATAGCCGAGACAGAAGCCATGGCGTTTCCCGCCAAGGCTGACAGAGTCGACAGACTGGCCCGGCCGCATCTCCATGTTACGCATGCGACTCCAGGCTCAGCGGATCTGTTTCAGCTGGCTCTATCCGGCATCAGAAAGTGAACACTGCATGCACTGTTGTAGCGACGATGTCGACTGAGATCGCCAGTAATGACAGCAGTCATTCGTCCTGTGAGACTTGCGAGGAGATTGCATCTCGAAGCTGCAACGCCGAGAGCTTATTCGTGAGGTTAGAATTTGCGCGTGATCCAGGCCCCTGCCTAGCCATGACAAGCCGTTCGGCGCTGGCTTGCCGTGTTTGAGCATTCAATGTGCCTTATCTCCTCGAATCCTTCTTTTGCACGTGACTCGCTTCAAGGGTGTGCCGTCGAGTTTACTGCGCACCATGCTGGTTCTTCTGTGGAGGCACCGGAGCAGCGGAGTACCTGCATCGCTGAAGATTGAAGCTGCAGCAGTGATGGTGAAGTAAGCCTTCTCCGTTGGCTACCGTTGGCTACTACTGCACCTGCGTATCGTACCAGGAGTACACAGAACTACTCCTGTCCGAGCATTCCTGGCTGTCCGTGTGTAGGACAAGCTGTTCGAACCATGGCCGGCTCTGTTTGGGTTACTCTGGCGAGACACGGAAGTGTGTGACTTGCAAGCTCCCTATGCCTTTGACCTTGGGTCCTCAGTAGAACCTTTTGCATATCCAGAGGCTTGAGTTCCGGGGTGAGACACTCAGCCTGAACCATTCTGAGCCCTCTTGGCATGAACCTTGATTCCAAAGCAGCCAAGACCCGACGTCCCAAAGCCTCAAACCGACTCATGTCCCTCCTCTTCCAAGAGCAGGCTTGCCCTGGGTGCCGAGGCTTCCGAATCCGAGGTCAGGCGGGGAGTTCCTGTAAAATGGAGTATCAGCAGGAGTGCAAGGATGATGTCAAGCACGGTCTGGTGGCAACATTGGCTAGACGTGGTGGTGACTCGCAGGTAGCAGCGAATGCGAAAGCACAACGACCAAGACTATGTTAATTTGAATTTACGGTTAGCTGCCGCCAGTGATATGAGGGGCATCGAGCGGTGGTGTCCTGTTGTAGTCTTGACAGTGAGCGTCGTTATAGTTCTGCCGCCGTTGCCGCTGCTACTCTGACTGCCGCAACTGCTGCCGGAGACACCGCCCAGCGACGAAAACAGCTAATGGTATTGCTATTTTGCTTTTGATCTTCACCTGGCAGCAGCCTTTGTAGATATCATTCTACAGCTCAACAGTGTGAAGGGGAATTGTTGCAGTCTTACGTCATCGTCACGGAAACGACCGCACTGCTCATTATCGCATCGAAAAGTTGCTGACAGCCATTATCATTATGGTGCTGATGATGATGATGACGATGATGGTCACGAGAAGGGGCAAATTAAGCAGGTTGCTAGGCTGGAGGGTTGGAGTGATGGAATGCAGCGACAGTGCTTCCGGACCATAGCTCCAACACAACATGGTGTAGTCACCAATGGCATCTGGTGAGAGAACGAGTGCTTTGACGGCATGAAGGGGGGAGTTCATGCTCAGTCGACTGTTATCGTGGCATAGGAAAGCATTCGGCGTTTCAATTGTCACTCGCCAGACCTCGATATCTCGATGCGCAGTTCGGTTGCTCCAGTCCGGTGCCGCTGTGCCAAGAGCCACACTACCATGCCAATCAGTTTTGTGCAGCCTCCTGCAGAAAGTAGAAAATGACCGCTGGTCCCTGCTAGAGTTGTGCCGTGGATGCAGAAAGCGCCAAAGCTCACCAAGCATGGGGCTCGTTGCAAATGAGCGCCTTGCTTCAATGCCATGGCTCATTGCTTTGGTTGCCGGCATGCTATGTAGCCAGGCAGGAGATTTCGCAGTCTCTGCGGCGGCAGAGAGGCAATGCACCCGGACAAATGGTTTCCGGGGTACAACAACATGGCATCACAGCTGCAGAAGAGATGCCAAGAGATGCTACCCACAGCATTGATGAGAAGACCTTCCCAGTGAGGGTGCATATATTCCGGATGAACTGGACCACAAGCATCCACCAATATATGGTACCATATATGTATGAGTTTTCCTGATCCAAAGACCTCCAGAGATTGTGAGCGGAAGCTGCTTCGGAGGGGACGGGCTGACGTGAAGAAACATCTATTCCAGTTTGTATTTGACGGCCCGGCCGCACGTTTTCTCCCACCGAAGTGGACAAGTGAAGCCTCGCGACGAGAACGGCAGTCCTCTGCGACTGGAAGTTTGCCATGTGGCCCCCACATAACTGCACAGAAGATCCAAGACGTGCACATCGGTCCGGCTTCTGTGGTGGGGCTGTAAATTGCTGATGAGCTAGCGTGGTAACGCCGGAGTCAGAGGGTTGGCAAGCGCCAGCGCTTTACCAAGAAGGACTGCCAACAGGTCAGCAGACACCACAGTGTGACCAGTTCATATTGTGTGAATGTTGCCAGGCTGCGTAGTGCTCGTTACTGCAATGAGATGCCTTGCTTTAGCCAGCCCGGCCAGTGCCAAAACTATGGTGGAAGTCTTGCAATGTGCTATGACTGGCACAGATACCTTCCAGCCACTTGCGGAAATCAGCGCCGAATGGCTGCGACTCCGTGGTGACGAATTGCAACTTCCCCGAGGACAGGATAATGCAAGTGCACTTCGACCTGAAACCTTTCCACATCTTCAAGTATCATGCCCGCGGTATTCACGAACCTTCTGCGAGCAGTTAGCAGCCCTATCATGTAGCCGTAGCCTGGCAGTAGATTTCGGAATCTCTGCGGCTGCAGAGTGGTAAATGTACCAGGACGAACGGTTGCCCATACAACAAGATGGCATCACAGCTGCACAAGAGATGCTCAAAGATACTATCGGAAGGAATCCCGAGATCACCTTCCCGGCGAGGGCCAATCTTTTGCGGATGAACTGGACCAACAGCATCCAGCGTGAGTATGATCTTCCTGATCCGCAGACCTCCGCAGATTGTGAGCAGAAGCTGCTTGCAAGGTGATGGGTCGACATGAAGAAACATTTGCTTCATTTTGTGATTTGGCTGCCTGGCCGCATCTTTTCTCCCACGCAGGTGGAGAACTTTCCGTTGAAGGTATGCGACGAGAACGGCAAGCTCGTGCAACTGGATGTTTGCCATGTGGCCGAAATCTCTGCCCAGAAGATCCAAGATGGTCCAATGGGGCTTCTGTGGTAGGGCAGTACATTGCTGACCAGCTAGCGGGGCAACGCCGAATACAGAGGGTTGGCAAGCGCTTTGTCACAAGAACGACTGCAAACAGGTCAAGGGGCACCACAGCGTAATCAGCGCATTTTGCGTGAATCTTGCCAGACTGGGTAGTGCTGGGCCCTTACTGCAACTGGATCTCTTGCACAAGCCGGCCAGTGCCAAGAACATTGTTGAAGTGGAAGTCTTGAAAGGTGCCATGGAACGTACGGATATCTTTCAGCCATCTCCGGAAATCACGGCCGAATGGCTGCGATTCTGTGTGTCCTCAATGGTTTTGACCGAGCTACAACTTCCGTGTGTATAGGATAAAGCAAGTGCATTTCGACATGAATCCTTTCAGCACCTTCACGTATCATCAGCAAGGAGGGAGTGACGGGGAGAAGTGTGTCGAAATTGCTTAAGCGAAGTATTTGGAAGCCTTCTACGAGAAGTCTGTAGCCTTCAAGGCCCAGCCACTCTTGCAAGCTTAATTATCCACGAAAGGCCAAGGACAAGATACTCTTGCTGACCGAGTTTTGTTGCCGTTTCTGTGTGACGGACGAGATGCGCCAGGAAAGGATTCCTCTAAGTGAGGTCTTGAAGCAGATAGGTTGCAGATCAACGTCTCCCCACAGGAGAAGCACAATATCATCGCCACGCACGCCACAAAAATGGAGAATGAATTGCCTGAAGCACTCAAGGCCTGGCGCTGTCATTTGGCACCACCCACAGAGACGCTCGAGGTGGAAGCAAAGAAAACAATGAAAAGAAGATCTATGCTATTGAGGCAGGTAGCTTTGCTCGATCTTTGCGGAACAGTGTTCAGCGTCCTGTCACGATCGATCAATGGCGACTGTTCTATGCACAGATGGATGAGCCAGTATCGGAGATTTGGTTGCGGTCACTGCGAGATGTTGCGAGGGTTGCATTCGGCTGCAAGCTGGAGGAGCCGACAAAGGTTTGCTGCAGTGATCAGCTCGGGGAACTGCAGTCAAAGATGATCGACAACATTACCCCGAGCACCCAGCTGATGAAGGTATTCTCTCAGCTTTACTCCATGGCAGCCGACTTGGAGAAGGGATCCGTGCAGTAGCGGAGGACCAGCTTGTCCGTTGAACTGCAGCGCCGCTTCAGTGATGCGCTCAATGCTTTTACAGGCTGCAATAATGGCATCCTGCCGGAAACCATTGCTGTGCATCGATGCAGTGAACCAGGAGGAATGGCCCGTGGTTGATGCCATAGAGATGCAAGCGCTCCTGCAAGTAGTGAATGCAGCTGCCAAATTCGAGAAGGGATACGCACCCCCAAAATTGAGGTCATCGGCATCGCCAGGAAGGAGGTGAACGGTGCAAAATGGTGCTGCGATTCGTAGACAAGGAAGGCAGCGGTGTTTACGCGGAGCTTCGCGGCGCGGACAAAGAGGTGGTCAAGAAAGCGGCCGTGCCTTGGACCGGGGAAGCTTTCTTCGCCACGCACCTCAGGACGGGCAAGCTGGGAGCACGCTATCTTGCGAAAGCTCAGTGCGCCGCTGGGCTGTGTTTGATCGATCCTGTCTTGCCTTGCTACAGGCATATCAAACACAGCCCAGCGACGCCACACTGACATGCGGATTTTCCAGGGTGACAAGGAGAACATCAGAAACCTGAGCCAGGCAGAAACCCTGAGCCAGGTACTGTTGCGGATGACCCCGTAACTTGTCCTGGTCCCACCCCCGAGTTCTTGCTCAGCCAGGCCATTGCCAAAGCGAGCGCTGTCCCAACGCACCATACTGTATTGATCAATCAAGCTGAGTTGTCCCTGCAGCTGTTCGAAAACCTTACAAACCGGCTCTGCCTTATGTACTATAATGTTCCAAACGCTGTGCGTGTGCCGGCTCCTGTCCTGTATGCCACCAAGATTGCGGCCTTCTGCGGCAATGTGGTCAAGAAGCCATCAAGGCCACGCCTTTTGAAGCAGATCAAAGTCTCCGCCCAGGGGAGGTACAATGCGATCGTGAGTCACGGCCAGAAAATTAAGAATCAATTGCGCGAAACGCTCAATGCCTGGGGCTGTCAGTTGGGATCACCTGCAGAGCCTCTCGAGGTGGAAGCAGAGCGATTAGAGACGTTGCAGGTGTGTGTTTCGGTTAAGCCGCGCACAAAATCATGCAAGGCCACTGCGAAGAATCTGTCAATTCGGGTGTTTGCGCAGTTAAGAGCATATCTGTAGGGGTGGTGTAGGGAGGGTCATGCTAGGCCGCTAGGCTTAGGCGCTCGTCTCGTTTCCTGTCTCACCGATCCAGGAGCTGTCGGCCAGTTTGCTGAAAGCTGTCTGTGAGGCCTTGGCTGCATGCCTTGACGCCTTAGGAATGAGGGGAGTGGGGGCACGAAGGCTGAAAGTCATGCTTTGCCTGCAGAGATGTACACGAGACTAGTGCCGTTCCGGTTCTACAGAGAAACTACGCCTGCGTGTGCAAACGTTGGGTGCATCGTCAGAGACTAGGTTTTGCAGACACTATGTCACTATGTGGCAGCCCCGCCTAGCAGCTAGCGCAACTAAGCCGCCCGAGTCCAAAAAGCCCTGATCTTGCGAACCTAAATCAAGAGCTACCCCAGAAGCGAGCCCCCGATCCACGAAAGGCCGCTGCCGCCTGCCGCAGCTTCCCAGCAGAGGCGTTTGTCGGGCTCGGCACTGGGGCTCCGCCCGGCCCCCAAGTCGTTTGGGTCGCCTTTCGATTCAGGCGGTGGCTTCACACCCAGCTCTGCAGGGGTTTACCTTTCTCAGCAAGTCCTTCCGTGAGAGTTTGTCACCCTGCTTCGAAGGGCCGGACACCATGACGTCAGTTGTTGCAAGGGTTCAAGTTACGGCTGCACGCCACCACCACTCCCACGCAGTAAGCTTTGGCGACGGATTGTTAATCGATACCTTCAGAATGCCTCGAACCCAAGCCCGATGATGACGAACGACGAAATTCCCCTGATGCTTACCCTGCCTCGAGCGTTGTCCAGTCTTGAGCTTTCCCAGGTTTCAGAGCCTGCTGCAGACCCTGGCATGCCTGCAGACACTGAGCCAGCAGTCATCTGCCGGCATAAGGACCGCCTGCAGACCGAAGCCACGAAGACCTCTAGAAACTCTAAAGCTAGATGCGGGGAAGAACTGCAGGAGAGCAAGCGGCCCTGCCGCCGCCTCGCATCGCTTTGAAAGCCAGAGACCTCTGGGCCCCACTCGACGCCCCTCGTCTTAAAGGCCTTGTTGGAGCTGCCGCCCCTCCTCGCCCAGACAATGGACGCAGTGGAGGCAGCCGGTGAACTCTCTTTCAGAAGAAGATGAAGAAGCGGCTGCAGCGATCCACAACATAGCAGCCCGCAGCCTTGCAGCTGCGGTCATGGTACTTAGCCACCACGAATCTTGAGAGACAGGGTCGCCGTAGTTGTGCCAGGGCCAGCAGCAGTGGTAGTGACAGTGGCAGTGGTAGTTGGTACTGTTACGGACAGTAGCAGTAGTACGTAGTTGAATTGTAGCGGCAGTAGTAGAAAATGTGAAAAAGCCGCGGTTTCGGTGGCTGCAGTCTGATGGAACTTTGGACTGCCTCTCTCGAAAGCATTGCAGTTTACTGTAGAATTTTGTTTGTAGTATCAGTAGCAGCTGCTGCTAGTAGTAATAGTCGTCGTAGTCGTAGTCGTCGTCGTTGTCGTCGTCGTAGTCGTGTATTATTGTTATTATTATTGTTATTATGATCATCGTTATTACTTATTAGTAGCAGCAGTAGCTGTAGCAGTAGTCATCATCATTTTTTGAATGATTCCATCAAGGTTGCGATAGCTTTGCAGCCGCCACCCATTGTTACGGCCTTTTCTCGGGCAATCCCGGCAGTTTTGCGACGTATGCTGTGCTTGTCTAACAGGCGGACTCGCAGTTCGTGGCATGGCTCCGAGTGGCCACCGCCTCAGCCTGGACGTATCGAATGGTGCTTGTCGTTGCGACACAAGCTGCCATGGTGTCATGGTATTGCAAGTCGTGCAATGCGGTGGAGTGAAGGTGGTGAGAGGTTTGCGTAGGAAGGTCCAGTAAAAGTTGTGAAAGCGGTGAGGGCATGACCTCCAGCTTTCGAAAGGACGGCACAAGCCGTGGATTACAGGAGGCCGGCAAGACTGAATAACGTTAGGCAGCACCAGCCCTCGCGCCAGCACGACTCGACTGTTCGTCGAATCGAGTATGGCTCTGGGTTTCATCACTGTCACCACCAGCCCAGGCTCGCGAGCTTCTGTCGGACCCCTCCTCGTTCGAGACTCGATCCGGCAAAAGGGCACCACACGTCCTCGAAGGACGGCCTTTTGAGAGTTGAAAGGGTTCCGAACTGCCTGTGTCTCGGACTCCGAGGCTTGAGCCGCTTGGAGAGATACACAGCCGGGAGGACTTCGGGGCAAAGTTGAATGTCCGAGCAGATGGGTGCAGTTGGAGCAGCAACGGATTGAGCTTTGAGACTGCACCGGGAGATGTGCTTTTGGTATCAGTGCGATGAGGCACATAATCTGAAGTTATGCAGTTCGTTGTCGCACACTGCCACGAGCAGGATAGGCAAGCGCTGTGCGAGTGGGCTTGGCTCTAAGAACTGCCGCTGAGTTTTTAGAGTCCTCAGCTTGCGACTCGTTTTGATGTAGCTTTTGATGTTTGGGGCTGCAGCTTGCCCCTTGAACTGTCAAAGCTTCTGGACCCATGGACTTTGATCAGGCAATCGCGTGCGAAGCACTGAAGTTCATTGACCTGATGCGTGGATTAGTAAAAACAGCTGTTCCTTTTGGAAGGTTCGTCTACGAAGGAACAATTGTGTGTAGTCAGCGAACGCACAACACACACTGCTCTTGCCGCACTTTGCTTCAGGCCCTGCGCTTTTGCCTTCGTGGGGCGCAGCGTTGCGCCAATGCGGTGAGTCAAGGAGAGGGCCCCGGAAGCGCATGGCAACAAATCTACATAGCCAATAGAGAGGAGTGGCTACGTATGTTCGTGTATATGTACATATACACTGCATGCCAAAAACCCACGCGCTTGCTCACCGCAGAGATATGTATACAGATGAGTAACTAATGTTTGCGATGTTGCTCATCGTACCTTACACTTGTGTATCTGTATATGCATGGCAGTATATGCCTTTAACGGCCGTATTTGAGTAGTTACAACTATAGCTACACAGACATATTAATATGCATGGGTGTGTAAAATGCACATGCGCAGGTTGTCATGTGATTTTAAGAGTTCGGTGAGCCGGTTGTTCTTTCTATGTGCTGCTGGTTTGGTAGTCAGGTGTCTTTTGCTTGTCAGTTGCTTGTGTTAATTGGCACTTGAGCCTGCAGATGTCGTGAGAAACGTCTTCTGGCCGCTGCTGTAAAAAAATTAGCATTCAGTCCGCACCTCTGCCACGAAATCCGAGTCATGCTCTTCACACTTGCTTCCAATAGAATGTATGGACTTTGGAAGGCTCTATAATACTGCACAGGACAACAAGTACAATCACGCATTACTTGTGGGCAGTGCAAGCAAGGTTCATCTGCTTGAAGCATAATGAGACCAGACACGAACAAGCGGTCATCGCCCACGGCCTCTCGTCCGGGCTTTTCGAAAGCATTACATCGTCAACGAAAGCTACCTCTAAGAATGTCAGAAGCCCAAACCTGCCGAGGAAGTGGCATTACGGCCTGGGAGGCGGCTGGATTTCGAGCTTTGTGAGTCTTTTGCGTGCAGAGTGCTCTGTGCCATGCCATTACTACTCGTCAGCCTCAATCTATTGCATGCGGAGTCGGCCTTTGTAAATGTACGCCATAGGTATATATGTATGCAGGCATTTATACGGAGATGTAAATGCAGATGTAAATATGTCCTAGGTATACACACATGCATATACAGATATACACACATACATGTGTGCATGTGTACGTGTGTGTATATATATGCATATGCACACAGGGAGGTGGGTAGGTCTAGTAGGTAGGCACGTAGGTAGGTATGGAGAGGTAGTAGTAGGGAGGGAGGGAGGTAGGTAGGTGGGCGGGTGGGGCGAGTGGGAGGGTGCATGTATGCAGGTACGTCCAAGCATGCAAGTGTATGCACATGTATGCAAATGTATGCACATGTATGTACATACATATATATATACGCATGTATACATGTATACTTGTAACGTCTTGCTCACCTTCAGCGATTCGGAGGTACTGTCAGAGATGACGGCGCTGTATGAGGTCTTGGAGACCCGTGCAGAAGGCCTGTCGATATGCGATCACGCAGCACGGTAATGGAACCAAGCTTGCTGAACCCCGTACCCGAATGCGCTCCGCCGCCAAGCACCCTGCCTACTGTCGCTAGGATGCTCAAGACCCCGAATACATGGAGCATAGGCGTAGGCTGCAGCTTCGAGCGGGCTTACACGCGATGTTCTCAGCACCTAAACCTGGTTCGACAGCTCTTTCCGAACCATACGAAGATATGAAAGCCGAGATGATGCGGGTATTCTTTGTGTCTTGTACGTTGAGGTTTAACTACCACCCTCTTAGTCTTTGGAGCAGCAGATCTTTCAGCATAATTCTGCCTGCGCTTACAACTCCTATGATAGTTAGTCCAGACCATGACACATCTCCGTCCCCATCAAGCACGTCAGAATTTGTGAGCAGGGAAGGCTTCTGTTTTTCCGACTCGGAGGTTCGAGTTCAGACAAACAGACAAGCTTGAAAGGTAGAGTTGAGGCGCGTTTTATTGAAGCCAAGCCACACGGCTTGCATCCTTAAGTTTTGGAGCGGTGGGGTTCGTTTGTAGCTCTGAGCGTTTAGTGTCAGGAGACTGGCTTCAGCTGCTCGAGGCCGGCCATCTTGATCGCCCACTGTGTGCCGCAGACAGAGCAAAGAGCATCATCGAAGACTGAGAAGTGACAGTCGAGTCCTGACTCGACTTTTTGTGTAGGCAGATCCTGCGATTCGATGCACTTTCCCATCCATCTTAGAGCCTTGGAGGGGGTCGCACTGCAACTAGCACAGACTCGACGGGCGGAGGCAGCAGCCTCAGCGGACTCTGCGAACATCTAATCAGCAGGTTTTCGTACATTCTGGCCTTTTCGGCTTGATGGACAAAGGGAGTGACCAAGGAGT